ATAGCATCAAAATAAACCGGCTATGACCAAGCTCATAGATCATACCCAGGCCCCAGACCACTTTCGTACGATGAGCTAACCCTTCGAGCGCTTCAAAGCAGGTGGTAGTTGAGCGTCGACTGAACCACATGCTTTCAGCATACTGCGATACAGCTCGATATGGCACAAACGACCGAGAACCGGGGGCTCATGATCATCAGCGCCACGGAGAAGCCGCCGCAGGTGGCGGTCAGGCAGCGAGCGGAGAAGCTGATCTGACACCGGCAACAGCCTATGGGCTTCCATTTCCCAAAATGACAGCGCCTGTACCCGATCGGCTACAACTTTCTGAGGATCCGCTGTTACAGCCTGGATGGCATCTTGGAGAGCAGGAGGCAGATCTGTCAACAGAGTGAAGGGGTGTGGAATGCCCAGAACCCACTGCACTGCTTGTCCAGGCTCAACTTCAGCTTGCACGAGCGGCTTCAGGGCGCCCCGCTTCATCTGATAGCCGGCGGACTGCGCCAGGCGTGCCGAAGCGGCTTGTCGATGAGGCGGCTTCTGGTTGCCCGGACCGAGCGCCCGTTTTCTCTCGGCAGCGGAAAGCACGAGGTCGAAGGAGGGCTGAAAATGCGACAAATCCTGGAGCATGCATAATCTCACAGCCAACGCCATCGAGCTACACACCTGAGCCGGGTAAACTTGAGCTTGCTTCGTTTTGAAGACCCATCTATTGAGCTTAGTGTTCCACGATTTCCCTTTCAGGACCACATGCAGGTGATCTCGGGGACACTTCTTGTACAGAGGCAAGAAGGCCTCAGATGTCACCAAGAGCCGAGTAGGCTTCATGGAGGGAGCACCGAAAGCACACTGATCAAAGTCCACCTCGATAGTGCGGCAGGCTTGCGACAGCACCTGAACCGGTGGTGTCACCCAGAGCAGGCTCAACAAAGGATTCTCGATCGAGAAGTCACCCCCTTGAGTGTGAACGATGGTGCAGACTTCCACGGAGCGGTAGAGGAAGAAATTGCCCAAGAGCACCAACGTAGCATTGTCCGCCGACAAAGCGGGCAGACCCATCGGTTCCTGAAGCGAGCGCAAGGGCGGTGGCCCCCCGTCCAGCTTGCGAGCCGCAGAGAAAGTGTTGCAAGGTGTGCCACAATGCACGAACATGATGCCACCCAATTGAGCAACCTGCATGAGCCAATCCCAGAACGCAACATCGAGAACATCCCGTGGTGAAGGCACTTGCACTGAAGCTTCAATGTCCACCGGGGGCAGACAAGGGATGCCCAGGGCGCGCACTGCTGCTGTCAGGCCCCCCGTGCCAGCGAAGATCTCGAGAAAGAAAGGACCATGGCGAACTGCTTCGCGAGGGTCTGACGGCACGTCATCCCATGAGAGCCACATGGGTGGATGACGAAACACCTCAGTTGTCTCCTCTTGGAAAGTCCCCGGAGGTGGAGACAGCTCCTCCGGGGAGGGCGAACGCCTTCAGTGATTGCCGTGCCAGGAGTGCTCCTTGCCGCACTCCACACACAGATGCTTGTTCTTGCGTTGATCACCAAAACGACACCCCAAGGAGCAATTGAAGAACGGGCACCGTCGAGGACCTGAATATTTGAAAGATGTAATTTTTGACCACTCTTTCGCTGGGACTCGCTCATCCCGAGCGGCAGGTTTCAAGGGTGCTGCTGTCGAGCTACCGGCTTTGGCCTGTCGGAGCAAAAGCTTGGCCCTCTCCCGTCGAGCGCGGTTCTTGCGAGCTTTGGGAGTCTTGGCTGGAGTGGCCGGCGACACCGACCGTTGTCGCTTAGCCGGAGGCGTCTTGGGAGCCTCGGACTGGTGAGCCTGTTTGAACCGATCGAGCTCCGCGCTAGAGCGAGCGTCATTCCACAGCTGTTTGTGATGGGCGAGCACTTCGAGCAAAGCTGCGGAATATGTAGTGAACTTCTTTCGCTGATCTGAGCTCAATCGATGAACTTTCTTCCGGATCAAGGAGTCCACTGTGAGCAGAAGAGCCAATCCACGATTCTCGTGGCGCCACTCCTCGAGATCTGACAAGTATTGTAGTGGACCGGCACCGACAGAGAAATCACAGATGTTGAGGTACTCCAAGGTGACGAAGAAAGCATGAAGCTTATCCATGACTTGTTGCTCGGAGGCGGCCGGAGAGGGTTGATCAACAGCGACCACCCGCAACAGGTCCTCTGCGTTCTTGGTGAGCCCGGATTTCTGGGCAATAGTCTCATTTCTAGTGCGGATCTCGCCCACCTCATAGAACTTCACTGACCCATGAACGAGGAAATCCCGCTGAACACGTTCCACGAATTTCCGGTGTGGCTCTCGGTGATGCGGCAGCAAGACATCCGGATGTCGGCCAACAAAGATCTCACGGAATTCTGCGTGATCTTCACCGGGGATCTCGGGAATCTTGGATGGATCCTCCTCCATACGAGCCCTGCGAGCAGCAAAGTGGTCCTGCATGGTGGAGCAAGTCTTCCAAACTGCCGCAAGTGATGTCAGGGCTAATTCCTGAGATGGACCGTCCGGGCCGAGATCCGTTGCATCCGGGATCATGGCCTGCAGTGTGGTCTTAACTGCGGCAATGTTGTCACCGAGCATGGCAAAGGTCTCCACTGTCAGGAGTCGCCGATCGGCCACAAGCTTGCACAAGTCCGGAGGGAGCCTTTGTCGTCCGAACACTTGCCGCAATGGCAAATCTGGCGTCCGGGCCGCATCATATGTCGTCCGATCGACCATGAGTCTGTGCACTCACGAACGCGACCGCTGCTGAAAATTGAGGGTGAAAAACCTACGACGACAAATTGCGCACGTCACGACACTCATGAATGCATGCAAAAAAGAAAACTCTCAGCACGATCGGCGAAATGCGGCCTACCAAACCCCCCGTCCCAGAACAAGCGGCCGACGCGTCACTGCCGTCTCTTTCGCCCTGTTCTGTGATCACGGTTGGTCTGGTTTTTGGAGCGCCAAGACCAGATCGGGTCGGGCCTTCGCACAAGCTTTACAGAGGACCGAGAGGTCGGGTAACTCAGACCCAACCGCTGAACACTCTGCCATTGCAAGCTTCCCGCAAGCGATCGCAGAGGGGTCCTCCAAAGCAGATGAATGAAATTTATACTCGTATGAGCTCGCGGCCGAGGAGGTCTTAATGAAAAACTGAGCTTCGGCTTCAGCGATGACCCCGGCATCTTCTAGCTCAACATCCGGAGTCTCGTGCACGGGATGTTCGTCCGCGACGAGATCTCGAACGAGTTGGTGAATCATGCGAGCGGGCACACTAGACCGATTACGGGTGTATTTCAAAACCATAGGACCGGGATCCTTCCAGTTTGCTTGCAACCCGATTTCCTCGGTGGACCTACCCGCATGAACCGCAGCGTCCAGTAGGGTGACCCGCGCTGAGTGAGCAGTCAGTGTGTTCAGCGTGCGAGCGCACACCCGCCACTCATCCGCGTGGCGATCGCCCCCGAACTGTTCCAGGGCCTCTCTCGCCAACACCTTCAACCACTGGACAGCCCTCTGGTGGGTTGGGGGGATTACCATAAACTCCGACCGGGTATTCAATTCGGGAATCCAAAAATCACGCTCGCGACCGTCACGACCGAACAGGACCCAACCCACCTGAAGCCACTGCGAATTCCGAAAACCTACGTGGGGGATAGCGAATCGCGTTCCGCGTTTCTTGCGATCGACTTTGGTCTGCCATGCCATGCCGAACAGTCCCGCATTTTGCATACGGAGATCGGTTGGCCTGACATGCTTCCCATCGTCAAATCTGAGCGACGCGAACACGAGACACAACCACCACCACATAAAAATTCGACTCGCATCCGGAGCAGCTTCATCGACCACGAACTCTTCCACGCACCCGATCACCTTAATAGGAATAGGCACGGCCTCCTTCAGGGCCTCAGCTCTCTGAGTGATCACCTCCTGTTGGAGCGCCAGGATTGCTGGCTCATCCAAGCTTGGGCACTCAATGACCAAGCGAGCACAAACCCAGCGCACTGCCGCTCGGAGTGTGGGGATGACCGTGGGTCCACATTCCTGATCGTTCAAGTGGAGCATGTACTTCATGATCTTGGAGGTGGTGAGTGGAAAAACCTCTAAACCTCTAGCAGCGAACCATGTCTCTAAACGCTCGAACGTCCGAACATAAGCAGCCATCGTTCGTGGGGCCCCTGCCGTGAGAACTAAATGACGGAGCTTCTCACTCTCTGCTGGTGAAAGTCCTTCCCCTGTAGAGGGATCGTCCCACAACTTGGCATGCGACCCTGCTCGACGGCCAATCTCTTCGAGACGTGCTGCCCACTTATGCCGTTCGGCATTTTCCTGATCAAGCAAAGGTGAACTTGAGGATGGAGGCTCAGGAGCCCCTGCCGCCCTCCTCGGGGCTTTGAGCTGTTTGCTGAACATGTCTTGGATCGCAGCAGCCCTTTTCAAACGAGCGGTCTCAGGTGACGATGCCAATGCGCGAACTGGCTCACACAACCCGAAGCCTAGCTGGTTCGCAGTAGATTCAAAGAAACTTCGTTCGACCGACGAGGCTAGCGACCAAAACTGTTCCAGTTGTAAGGGAGCTCCTAAGAGAACGGCTGCAACAGCTGGATCCATGGTGGTCGACCAATCCGCGACTTTGGCCACGAACGCTGCCGGCGAGCCCACCTCCATCGATGCGATCAGAGCTAGATTCGCGAAAGGACTAGCCATGAGCGCCTGGGCGAAGTCATCGCTGAAAACTGGAAACGAGAGGATCTTTCTAGCCCACCGATTCGTGTTTTCTTGAGCCATGATCACCTTAAATGAGCACTCTAAGGTCATGTCCCAGTCGATCGACTCATGTCCTAAC